CGACAACGCCTGATCCACGCGAGTTAAGGGGATCCTAAAGCCGTCTGTTTTATCGACATTCTTTGTTACAAGTAATCTTTTAATTGGCTTTACAGAAATACAAAACTCTTTGACGGAATTAAAGTACGCGACAAAATCTAGACTATGCCGGTCGACTTTATATAAGAAACAAAAAAAATACAAAATTTTACTAATTTTTTATACACTTGACAATATTTGCCTGACACAAGAATTCTACAATAAATATATACAAAATGAGACCAGTATACTCTAGGAACAACATATAAGAACAATATCGTGCAATTAGAACTGAGATTAATAGCTTAGAAAAAAAGATTACTTCTAATAAACGCAAGTCTAGAAGAAGAGAAAAAAAGAGCAGTATGGCGTGACGAAATAGTTGCGGGCTTCTTCGAACTGTCAGATTGGCAGTAAAGCCGTGTTGACGATGCTAGAATTCGATCCAAAATCTCGGTCTGAGCTAATAAAATTGCTGCTTTTTCGTAAAAGTTGCAAATTGATTGACTATAAATTTCTCGGATCAAATTCTAGCACCGGAAACACGAAGTCGATAATTGACGTTTTTAATTCCGTCTCCGATTTTACCGACACTGATCCCCTTAAACTAACCCACACAACACAAAAGCTCGCAATAACATTGTTGCAACATTGTAACATTTCATGTTGCAATGTAATGTTACATAGATACTGCAGAGACATTATTTTACAATATTACTTTAATATTTTAAAATATTGATACAATTATGTTTGTAATATGTATATTGTTTCCCCATCTAACTTTTATAGTTCATTATAAATGACAAAACGTGTGCTTCGCGCGCTCAGTTTGTAGTTGGGCATTGTATATTTTCAAGAATTTGTATACACGCAAACAAGTAATCGTATGCGCAACGTCAAATTAAAATAAAAAGTAATTTATCACTCACTGATACGATTCGCAATAGCAGAGTTGTACATCGCTAACCATATATGTTAAACTGTAAAAATACAAATATGTATATGATTATTATAGGCTAATTATGCAAGATCGAAATTATTGTATTAAATATACTTTATATTTTATATGACACTTACCTTACGATTTTTCCGCCGTTGCCCGATGCCTCCTTAGCCTCCTCCTCCTCAGATTTCCTTGTTGCACTCACACAACACTCACTCGCGAAAATAATCGATCGCGCGAAATTTCGGGCACTCCCGTACGCGATGTAAAATACCGCGAAACGCACGCGGTGCGTAAACGAGATGTAATCGCGACAAATTACCACGGTTTACGTTCATATCTTACAATTAGATGAGTTAGTCTCGCGAAATCTATAACGTTGATAAAAGCCGCGGCTTGAACGTGAAAATCACTTTTCATTACAAGTTGTAATATTTAGTCGACGAACGTTACTTATTAATAATAAACGTGCACAAATCAATAGCGTTTTATCCCCAGATTCATCGCGATCGCGTCTTGGAAACCGATAACGCAAAAGTAATACGACACACGGAGCGACTCTCGCCACTGTCTGCCGGCACGACGTTCGGCGAGCGACTGAGAGCGCGGCGACCTTCAGGCACACGATTGCACGCAAAAACATCGTACGTCACCGCGCCGAGTGAAAAACAACAAAAAAACGTTGAGAATTCGTTGTCCCGCCTACGAAATGGGAAATTCCGTACTTAATATTTTACATTACTTTGTTCCGTGACTGTTACTACGTTTTGCGTATTATTTTGCGGACTTATTGGTATTGATTGAATTAACGATGAATTCTGTTCAATCGAGAAAATGTTTCGAAACAAAAATCGTTGTTACTTAAATTCTAATTGCTATGATTAGTGATTTTACCTCAATAGTTGGTGTATACAAATGTATATTTCTAAATTGCAAATCTTCGTGACCGCGACTTTACGGTTCTTCACACCCTGCCGCGAAAATGTTTTTAGCTCCTATGATCTTTTTAACATCCGGAATTTGCTCATAATTTTTTCTTTATATATTAATATGAATATACACAAAGTGTTATTTCATATATTATACATATATTAAATAATGCTACGTTGCTGTAATATTATTATACATTGTAATATTTCTGAAGGCGCATTTTACCGTTGCTGCAAGATTGCTGCATTGTTGCAGCAACATTTCGCAGTGTTTAGACAATGTTACAATCTTGCGATTAATTATTGCTGCAAAGTTGCTATGCTGTATGGGAAGACTCCATAAATGCGTTGAGCTGCGGCAACGCGTGTGGAGACGCGTGCAGCAATGCGAGTCAGTCAATAAGAAGCTTGCCGCGAGCTTCCTGCGTTGAAATTGAAGTCTTTTGATTCGTTGCCGCACACGTGGCCGCGGTTCAACGAGTTTATGGTGTCTTAGCTTTAGCCGGGCGAGTGGGCAAAGATTAAAATGCGCATTTCGCCCGCGGAAACGCGCGAATTTCAGTTTATATTTCTGGACGCGCTCCCCGGTCTTTTTTTTAAACGTTGACTGCGGCATTAATGCAGCAGTCTAGACGAACGGTTGATACGCCATTTAAAGTAACGTTTTAAAGAGGCTCGAGACTTTCGTGTTATTTTATACAACGAGAAAGAGAGTGAGAGAGGGGGGGACGAGTAGAGATTAGCATTATTTGTCATAGAAAAAGCGGGATTGTTTTCTTTTTTGAAAAATAAATTCCGCATGCATTTTATTATAACCGTGATTCTCACGCGAAACGCACAGGTTTTAAATGCGACTAGAATACCGAGGTAAATTGCCAGGTCACTATGAAACGCGTACACTCTAAGGCAAATCCCTGAAAAAAAATCGGATATAATTTTACGCAACCATCGGTGACAACGAATTAACAACTTAGTCTGGCAATGACAGGCAATGCGGACCGTTTTAACGTCTAGGATTAGCGCGGCCTGAATTCTAAACTCTATCAGTCGGATATTCGACGGAGTTTCGAAATCCACCACGGCTAAAGTTGCTGACGGTATCCGGTAAAAATATTTTTTCCATCTCCCGCGAAATAATTGCTCGCGCGATGTTGAGAGATAAGGGACATTTTGCAGACGGAGACACACGCGTGCGTACGTTCCGATGATACGCCCGAGACGTTGTTTAAAACGAGAATTCTGCGTACCGTCGCGCCGCGTCGGATTAAACCAACTTCGCACTACTTTGCCTGCCGCACGGAGTCTGACCTTAATTCATTCGCGGGCTTATCCGAATGCATCCGTTCGGAATGTGGGCGCACGGCTTCAGAGATCTCGGATCCAGGTCCTTATAATTACTAGTCTTTGGAAGTTTAAGCGGTTTCCTACCGACGTACAGAGTCGGACCACCTGACGAACGCGATTCGCCGAGTGACGAAGAGCGGAGGAGGAGGAGGACGAGGAACCAGGATGGGAAACGAAATATTTATCGCAGTCATTCCGTTCGGCAATACGATTAACTTCCGGATCGTCTACCTTGCTCCCGTGATTACCTCGCCATGCAGTTATATATGCGTTCCGTCGGAAATTCCACCCGAGTTTGTGATAAAGCCAGTATTCACGGGAAAAAATTGATGCATCAACAAAAACAGTGTAATAAAAATAAAATCGAAACATCATTAATGAATGGAAAACGTGAGATAGTTGTCTTAATAATCTGGATATTTAGTTGAGTGCTTAAAATTCAAAATCCACAGCAAGTACATTCGAGCAACTTCAGTTTCTTTAATTCAACAGCATTTTTCCCCGTCTTTGATTATTCGCGTTTTTAAATTTTACAGAATATCCTTGACTGAACTTCGTGGACTTAGCGTTGATTTTCGAAGTCTCAATCATTAACACAACGGTAATCTTTGTTCCCATCATATTAGAACGTAATTGTCTAATATGTTATCGAAATGCCAAGTACCCGTCTGCCCAATTTCTTACTAAATGTATCGAATTGGCAACGGTAAGATCGAGTGGCTTATTTCGTAACAAAAGGCCGAGCGGCGCGTGAGGAATTTTCGGAATACGTTTTCAGACGCCGCGGGGAAAGGGAGCAGTCGCGCGGACAATGCGAATTTCAGGCACTTGTTGAACCGAGACGTCAATTAACTTGCAATTTACTTGCAAAGGGAGAATCGTTATTACGACGAAAAAGCGGGGCCCTTCGTTAATATTAATATTAAAGTTCGCGGTCTAACGTCGAGTTTATTACCCGGGCATCAGACATGCAAAGTCAGAAATTGCCTATTCGTAAGGTCGCGTCGGGGACAATTACATCGCGCTGCTGTAATCCTCATTTGCATGCATATGTTTTCGAGGAAGGCCGCGTCGTCGGCATAGCGATTATCACGCCGCCAAAGATTCGCAATAATTTTAATGAAGTCATATTTCACGGTTAATCAACGTCCGTTTTATCGCGCGGGACTTGCCACAGACCACGCGTGTCTAAGACACATCTTTAAGACGTCTTTAAGTCTGAAAGACGACTTAAAGGTGTCTTTTAGACACGCGTGCTGCATGGGTTTCTTTCTCGCATCAGCGTAACGATCACGCGCGCTCTCCATCGTTTTACCTCGAGGGGGAAACCGTTGAGGGCATTGTGGTGTAACAGATTTGCGGCTGTCCGATTAAATACAATCGGATAGTCCAATTACACAATAACAAACGGATATATCCGATTAAATTGTGTATCCGATGAAAAATGTGATCGGTTTGTCAATCGATTTCATCGGTAACTGCATTTCATCGGATAAATTTCATCGAATATCCATAATTCAATCGGGAAACGTAGTCGGAAAAATTAACCGTCGAAAACACTATTTAATTGGTTTATCCGATGAAAATTTTTCTCAGTGTAGGCATTTTTGGGCATTAGGCCTTGCTGAGGCACATAAAACAAGATAAAATAAAATAATAAGATGAAGTAATGTCCACTGGGCATTAGTGGGCATTGGTGTGCAAGATTTTGGTCAGCGGTTTCCCCCTCGTTTCACCTCGTCAAACGTTTAAAAGCGATACCTTACCTTTTGGTAGTTGAGAGCGAGCAGCAGATACTTCCTGTCGGCGGACAACTGGTGGTCGAAGCTCGACAGCAAATCCTGAAAGCGCAAAACATCAAATCGTTCATAAACAAACGTCGTCAAATTGAAATGTGATCTCGCAGCTCGAGTAAAATATGTGAAACGTGCAACGGACACAAAGCTACTGAGAGCACAGTGGAATGGGAATAAGAATTATTTGTTAAATGATTTAGCAGAATCAATTAAGATTCGTTTACTGTAGATTACACTGTAAAAAAAGTTTCACGTAAAATTGCAACTATTTTAGTAGGTAACATCGGGATCATCGGTTAAAGACGAATATTTACGTGCGTCAGTGAATTTTTTATCTCATAAATAAAATTATTACCTTACGCAATAAGCAGCTTGCTTTCAATTTTGTAAGTTTTCATAATTTCTCGTCAAATATAAACTTACGCAACAATAGTAGAAAATTGGTAATTTTTGTAAAAATACACGAATTTATATATTTTATCAACTATTATCAATTCACGTGACTTCGTACCATACGCTTTTATTACAACGTATGCCATCTGTGTTTAGCGTTGGACCGCGAATTGATACGGCGTCGCCGACGCAATCGACGGCTGATATAAACGCGGCAGTTACTCATTAAAAGTGGAATGCAACGGGACCTTAGCCACTATCTTTACAGGCCAACGTCGCGCGATAACAGGCGGGTGCATTAACCAGTTCCAGTAATAAGGAGAGCCGGTAAACCTCGTAGAAGAGCACGAAAATCTCACGCTCGCGTGTCAGACCGCGGTAATCGGCGTCAACGAACGCGAGGTCGCGGCGCGCGGTACAAATCGCAGACGGGGGTTTATCGCTTATTGCGCTTATAAAGCGAGTCGTTGGCGAAGTGACGCCGGAATGGGCTGCAAATGCGAGACGGCGGCCGGTCGCGGAAAGTGCCGTGGCTTTGTGCCGCCGCGTCGCGACGACCCGGAACGCTTTGTCGAAATCGCGACAAGTAAATTACGATCACGCGCGCGCGTCACGTGAATCGGCGGGATTGTTGAATGAGACGCGGGTCCCCCGCTAATGGGATGACCATCGTTAAGCGAAGTGGAACGAGACGATCGTTTTTGAGCAGGCGATCGCGACAGCCAAGTGGCAATAAAACAGTAACTGGCGGCCGACAACTGCAATTATTACTTTAATACGACCGAGTTTATTCGCATGACAAACGGGACTGACGGATCGTGTCTATGTGTCTTGATGCTCAGTGTTGTGCATAGATGATTTTAAAATTAGCCAGATAAAGATAAGATAAAAATATAGAAATGTATCTTAGATAAGATAAAGATGATTTCGTTTTGAATATATCTAGATAAAAGATAAAATTATATGATGATTCATCTAGATAATTTTCAGATAATATTTTTAAGACTTCATGTAAACACAGTAGAAAAAGTTATTAAAAAATTATAGAAAAATTTAAATTATAAGGGGGGATATAGAATATATTCAGGTTAAGTTATATGACACACACATAAATGCATGGTCTACAACGCCATCCATATTTAAATAGTGTAACTGTTAAGTATTTTTATGTGGCCCTAAACCAAATTATCTGTACGTTATCTTAGATAATTTAATAAAAATAACACTTTCTTTCATCTAAGATGCAGATATAGATAATACTTATTTTTATTATCTATATAAAGATAAGATAACGCTAAAATTTTATCTAGATAATCATCTATATAATTTTATTTAGATAACAGCAAACACTGTTGGTGCCACTCGCATTCAACGCGCATATGTTGCATTGAAATTCGGGCTCGAGGCCTCTAAGCGGAGAGGCCTCTGAGCTTTTCTTAAAGCTTATCCTGAAAATTATGCAATCGTGGGCATTTCCAAGAATTTCACGAGCGTTTTTTCAAGTTTTACCACACATGCTACTAGTAATTACACTGACATATACTCGTACATTTTACTTATAGTACAATGTGTAGTAAAATTGCAAAAATTCTCATAAAGTTCTTCAAAATGCCGTGTTGTTCCAGAATTGCACGATTCTCAGGGTAAATTATAAGAGAAAATTCTTTCCGTGCATCACTACTGGGAGTTTCATAAAATTTTACCATATATTTTACTAGTAGAATGTGTCATAAAATTGCAACTCTCATACAATTCTTCAAAATGCCATGTTGCTTCAAGATTACATAATTTTTAGGATAAATTATAGGAGAACAATGAAGAGTTTCTTTAAATTTTACTGTACATTTTGTTAGTAGAATGTGTGGTTAAGTTTCAAAAACCTCTCATAAAGTCCTTTAAAATGCCACGTTCTCCCACGATTACTGCATGATTTTCAGGGTAAATTTTAAGAGAAAATTCTTTCCCCGTACGTCACTACTGAGGGTTTCTTGAAATTTTACCGTACATTTTATTAGTAGAATGCGTGGTTAAATTTCAAAAAAATCTCATGAAGCCTTTTAAAATGCCACGTTGTCCCAGGATTACATGATTTTCAGGGTAAGTTACAAGAGAAAATTCTTTCCGTGCATCGCTACTGGTGAGAGTTTCTTGAAATTTTACGAGTACAATTGCGGTAGAATTTCAACACTCATAAAATTCTCCAAAATGCCACGTTGTCCCACGATTACATGATTTTCAGGGAAAATTCTCTCCGTGTAGAATTATGGTCTTCAGAAAATAGATTTATTCACGTTCAAGTCGTATACAGAGAGTACGAAACGTGTTTTTCTTCTCCGCTTCTTTTAGTTAATTAAAATTCTACAATAATTGTTACAATTCCGGTGCATTATTAATTTTATTTCGAGATGAAATAACACGAATTGCGTGTACAATTAAAAGAATCCATGTAATTAATTATTTGTGTCAAACTTTCATTAAATATGTCAATAAATTAGTTTATACAGCGCAGTAGCAGACCGCGCCGAAATATGGTGGTGAAATAAATACAGTTTTGATTGTTTCAACTGGTACTTTCACTGATACCTTCATGCAGCTACATATGCTTCTCAGGAAATTTTTGAGAACAAAAAAAGGACCTCGAAAACAGAAATATATATACACATATATATATAATATTGGCATGGAGACAAAGTGACGCTGACAGTTTTATCATGTTACGTGGCAAAAGTTACGATTCTATTAGCAACTTTCCGAACTAATATTAAAGTATTCTGCTGGGACAGCTTGACACATACCTAATAAACTTGTTACTTTTAAACATGTAAAATTTTCATACCGGTCGTGAAATAAAAAGCAACTTTACACAACCGCGCAATTCAGAGTTCGCGTTTTCTCACTGGAGAGGTGGGGAGGGGGGGGGGGAAGACATTAACGCGCGCGGATGAAATTTTATCGTTGTCATTTTTTTTTCTCGAAAAATCGATATCGGAAATAGATACCGCGGGGAAACGATACGGGAAATAAACGCGCGCGCGCACGTTAATATATTATATTCCTCTCCGCTCCGCGCGTAAAAAAAGAAACTAATTTCTGCAATTCGCCCGAGTATTCTTAATATTTCGCTTATTGTCTCGCGAGAGAAGACTCCCTCAGCTCTCAAAGGCGGTCTTTGAGCCGGCGCATTTGGATAATTGAATCGGTGAACCTCCTATACATAATTCACTTGAAATGCGCTCGCACCGAAACGGCAAGTAGGCTCGCCGGATGCAATTGTCCAAATGTACTCACTCAAAGACGGCCCTCGATATATATACGTATATACACGATATATATAGATATATATATATATGCACGAGTGAAGGTATACGGGTCATAAACTCCCTAATAGCTTTCAGACTAACAAGGAGAGCGTCCCGACGAGGCTGCTCTCCTCGTCGGCATCGCGAGGACTCGGACCGCGTTCGAAACACTCCCTCAAGATTTCGACTGGTGCGGCAAACGCGCGAGAGACCTCATTTAACTCGAGAGAGGTAAGAAAGAGGCACGCAAGTTTGACGATAAAAATTAAGTTCCGGAGCATCGCGCCGGTTAGCCGTTGCAATTTTTCTTTAGCGCGTCCCCCCTCTTCGGCTCGCTTAATTAAAAGAATCACCTTTACCTCCCCGCGCGCGCTGATTACGGCGACGGCGTCCCCGACGAGGGGGATGGAATTTTATTTGAAACAATACGGACACCGTGCTCGTCCGCTATTTGTTAAGGCGGAGACAATCTGCACGGAATCAAACGGATTCTCTCCTTTTGTCGGGATGGAAAACACTAAATCGCAGCACTTTACAACGAATTGTTATTACGAAAAGCAACGAGTAAGAATTCTACGATTTCTAATTGTATGCAAAACTTTCGTCATTTTCGACTCGTTGAGGAAACACTCAAATAATTTCTTAATTTTTACTCACAACAATCCTTGCCTTTCTTTAAAATGGTTTCCGGTTTACAACTTCACCTCTGTTTCTTACAATACTTTCAGTCAAGCTTTCAACGTATACGGAGAGATCTCTCTTAAAATTTACCCTGAAAATCATGTAATCGTCGAACAACGTGGAAGAATTTTATGAGAGTTTTCGAAATCTTACCACACATTCTACTAGTAAAATGTATGGTAAAATTTGACAAAACTCCCAGCAGTGATGCGCGGAGAGAATTTTTTCTTAAAATTTACCCTGAAAATCATGTAATCGTGGAACAACGTGGAAGAATTTTATGAGAGTTTTGTGAAACTTTACCATACATTCTACTAGTTCTTCGAAATATCACAATTACACGACTTTCAGGATAAATTTTAAGAGAAAATTCTTTCCGCGTAGAAACGCAGAGACATACACAACTGAGCGTATAAATCTATAAATCTTTTAAATTAAAGGAATGTCGAAGTAATAACATAGCCGCCATATATCAGAGCGCGCACGACAAATAGACGGAGAGAATTTCCTGTTAAAATTTATCCTGAACATTACGTGACCGTGGGACAACGCGGCATTTCGGGTACTTTTGTGCAAGTTTTTTGAAACTTTCCCATACATTTTACCAATAAAAAGTATACTAAGTACAATTACTAATTAAATTTCAAGAAACTCTCATAAAGTTCTACAAAACGCCACGTTGTCCCACGATCGCATGCGACGTGTCCCGGCAGAGATTTTCCTCCGAGGAGACATCTCGCAATGTTAAATTTCGCGGAGACAGACGTCGCGTTACAGACGTCATAATGAATCATTTTCCAACGATAGCCGGCTGGATATCTGCGCGCGTGTACGAATGAGAATCGCCGACGATAGATCGCACGGCACGCGCGTCAGAACGTGAAAGATAACAAGCAATTACCGTTGCGGCGATCTCTTCGACGGCGAGTGTCGTAACGAGAGTAACGGCGTGCGCATCGCACTGTACGTCCTCTCGTTCCCCCCGGGTTGCGAAATAATTTCGGTCCCTCTTTCCGATTACTCTCCGCTGTCCGCTTTCGCATTCGAACCGCACGCGCGGCTTCCGCTTTTATACGTACAATAACATTGTGTACACGCGCGCGCGCTCGCGATAGAGCCCGGCCGATTTAATTGATCACGCGCGAGAATATGAATTAAAATGGGAGGGGAGTGGAAGAAGACCGGGGAGAGAGGTACAGGGCGAGATATGGTGCTCTCTCGGTCGTTATCTGCGATTTCGGAAGTGAAGCGCGACGCGACGGTGCGGCGCGGGCCCTGACAATTAATTTGTACACGGACAATTCGTGCAGCGATTTCTATTTAATCGCATGCACACGCGACTATAATCGCGCGTACGCGCAAAAATGTAGGCGCACGCACTTCTGGACCAGCTTCGCGCCAGGTACACATTTTACAATAATTGATTACCAGCGATAACGCAGCGACACATTTCGTATTTTAAGTTATTAATGGTATATTGATACGCGGTGTAATTAACATTGTATATTGTTTTCTTCGTTCATTCGATGTCAGTATTGCTCTTCCACTTGGATTTAATATAAATAATTTAGCGCGCTCTACCGCAGAGCTCGCTAACTTTTTTGATAAGATGTAGTTACAGATAAACAGATACTATATGTATCTGTATCTTTCTCCGGAAAAATAGCTCGGTGCATCTTGTATCTAAATCGGAATTCAAGGAATGTAACTTGTATCTGTATCTCTTCACTGAAAATTTATCTTGTATCGGTATCCTTGATGGAAAAAAGTTAACATTGATCCTGAAAATCATGTAATGGAACAACATGGCATTTCGAAGAAAGAGCTTTTTGAAATTTTACCGCACAATTTACAATTACAATTTAAATAGTAATTACACAGAAAAAAAGAATATTCTTCTTTTGAAAATATGTTTAGTCTCAACGTAAAAATCTTGAAATGAGATTATATCGCGTTAAAGGACGAAAAACTTGCTTGAATAAAGCAATTTTATGTAATTCAATTGAGAAGAACATACGCTTTTTATTTGAGAATAATTTTCTTGAATAAAAAGGAAACGATATTGGATAGAAAATGGCAGACTTTCAAATCGAAGATCAGAATAATTAAAATGGTTTCACTGTCAAAATAATTATACGTATTTTTGAACTGACAATTATAGTATTTAAATAATACTGTAAGATTATTAAATGCTTCTAAGAAGATTCTCGATTGTTGCGTACATAAAAACAATGAACGTTGACTCGAGTATACAAGAGTTGATCTGACACTTGCTTTTCTTCTGTGCGGCAAGTGGCAATCAGAGCTTAGTATCTTTTTTCTAAAGACACCAATACAGATGTAGTTACAGACAAAGTCACCATCTATACTTTTCTCCAGAAAAATAATTCAGTGCATCTTGTATCTACATCTAAAAAGAGGAATTTAAGAAATATAACTTGTATCTCTTCGCCGAATCCGTTGAAAATTTATCCCGTATCTTTGATGAAAAATGTCAAGATCCAAGCTACACCGTACCGTAACTACTTCCCTTGTAACTCACGTCAATATCTAATACTAATATTATTAGTGGAGAGGTAGAAAGGGGATGCGATAACCCAGGTAAAATAACTGATAATTCTGAGATTCATTACGGGTAGAATTTCTCGAACAAGCGCTCCCCGGATTTCATGCAAACTTCCAAGTCCCCCGCGAGAACTTTCGTGCAATGTGCGCGCCGGAAGTTTTGAAGAAAACTTACGGGATTGCTGAAGTCCAACAGGATCTTGGATGCGGCCGAGCTGACATTGTAGATCAACAAATTTCCTATCTCGTCACGGTAGAGGATCTCGTCTCCTGTAACAAGAGGGACACGTTAGCGGGGAATTGAATTTTAAATTAATACACCGCGACGCGGTGTAATATCCCTATCGTGTGTCTCGTTATTTCGCGCACCGCGGCACCGCGCCGTCGTGGTTAAATCCACGCGCGCGTTAAGCGCCTTTTTTTCGCGCGGAATCTCATTCCGTCGCGAGCTTTAACGAATTATACCGAGTTCTCCGCGCGCTTTTATGTTTATTCCGGGGCATTAAAAAACAATCAGTTGCTACCCCGAAGTGCATTACAAGATTCGTCCATTTAAAGACAGTTAGAACTGAATAAAATCATCCCGATTGCGAAACGATCGCTTCTCAATCTGGTAAAATCTAAAGCGTGTATCGCAGTCGCAATAGATTAATAACTTTGTTAATCGACAGAGTGCAAATAATCTCCGTGGACGCTCGCCTCGTTTTCCTCTCCCTTTCACGAAAAGTCCCTTAAAAATGTTCACTTTTTGTTAAACGAGATTTCTGGAAACAGTCGTAGCTGCAACTCGGTCCGAGGATGATGATTGATTAATTCCACATCGCTCGCGCGCCTTTGTGCGTCTTGCTCGCGCGTGCAGCTTTCTTCAGAAACGGTAGCAGGGGGAGCGAGGGAGAGATGGACGAGTGAATTTCGGAGAGCTCGTCATTCTCGAAAATCGATTTTCGCGAACCAACAGTACGCCGTTTCATCAATCTTGGCGAGACTGGCATCGTAAGAATCCACGGAATAAGAAGCGTCGAGTTAAGTTGCGATGGACCATGAGTAAGAAATATTTTTATCGTTATCGGGACAGCAGAAAGGTAGCGGAGAAGACAAAGAATGGGGCAGGGAGGAAGACATGGGCGAAAGAGCAGTGAAGAGGCAGGGGAGGAAACATGGGAAATGACGCTAAACACGCACCGCCGAGAGTTAGAAGAATAACGAAGCAACGTATCCTACGAAAATCGTCCTCCGATTATCCAAGAAATCAATAATGCAACGACTCATGCGAAACCAACAACGATTAATTTCCGGCGGTGCTTAAGGAAGTCCTAAAGCCGCTGGCGAACTCGATCAGTGTCGATAAATTAGGAGACGGAATTAACCCATACAGCACAGCAATCTTGCAGCAACGGTAAAATGTTCGCCTCCAGAAATATTACAATGTAATATTACAGCAACATAGCAATATAATGCATGCGTAATATATGTTTTCTCGAAGCGCGGTGTGCTTCACTTCTCTTTTAAATTTCATAGTAAATGAAGATTTAAAATTTAGAATTGTATACACCAACTATTGAGGTAAAATCTCTAATCTTAGTAGTTAGAATTTAAGTAACAATGATTTTTGTTCCGATACATTTTCTCGATTGAACAGAATTAATCGTTTATTTAATCGGTACCAATAAGTCCGCAGAATGATACACAAAACGTAGTAACAGTCACGGAACAAATTAATGTAAAATATTAAGTACGGAATTTTCCATTTTATAGGCGGGACAACGAATTCTCAACGTTTTTTGTTGTTTTTCACTCGGCGCGGTGACGTACAATGTTTTTGCGTGCCATCGTGTGCCTGAAGGTCGCCGCGATATCACTCGCTCGCCGAACGTCGAGCCGGTAGGCAGTAGCGAGAGTCGCTCCGTGTGCCGTATTACTTTTGCGTTATCGGTTTCCAAGACGCGATCGCGATGAATTTGGGAATAAAACGCTATTGATTTGTGCACGTTTATTATTAATAAGTAACGTTCGTCGACTAAATATTACAACTTGTAATGAAAAGTGATTTTCACGTTCAAGCCGCGGCTTTTATCAACGTAGATTTCACGAGGCTAACTAATCTAATTGTAAGATATGAACGTAAACCGTGGTAATTTGTCGCGATTACATCTCGTTTACGCACCGCGTGCGTTTCGCGGTATTTCACATCGCGTACGGGAGTGCCGGAAATTTCGCGCGATCGATGATTTTCGGTGATTATTGTGCGAGTGCCACAAGGAAATCTAAGAGGAGGAGGAGGCTTCGGAAGCATCGGGCGACGGCAGATCAATCGTGAGGTGAGTGTTTTACATTTTTATATTATTTGCTACTTGTGCAAAATAAAGCATCTGTTCTGTGTTTTTGTTTTATTGATTCAAATGATTCGAACGAGGATTCGAGTGTCACAAAGCGACAGTATAAAATTTTGTGAGTTTGTAAGGAAAACATTTTTTGAGTATTCTATAATTATTTTAATAAATACCTATTTTGAAAAATATAAAATATAAAGTATATTTAATAAAATAATTTCGATTTTACATACTTATTCTATAATAATCGTATACATATTTGTATTTTTACAGTAACGTATACAGTTAACGATGTACATACAACTCTGCTATTGCGAATCATATCAGTGAGTTATGAATTATCTTTTATTATAAAGTGACATTGCGTACGTAATACCTTCTTTGCATGTATACAAATTCTTGAAAATATACAATGCTCAACTACAAACTGCGCACGCAAAGCGCAGTTTCTATAGAAACAACAAAACGCGCGCTATAGTTACTAGTAAAATGTATGGTAAAATTTCAAAAAAGTCTCATAAAATTCTCCGACATGCCATGTCGTTCCACGATTACATGTCTTTCAGGATCAATTTTAAAAGAAATTTCTCTCCGTGTACGAATATTATGCAATACAGAAATTCAATTATTGAAAATCGTCAAATAAATTTATACACAAAACGCGGAATACTAAAAGTTTCCCTTGAAAAATATAGAATCAATTTAACAAGCTTATTTCAATTGCATTAATTTAATTTTAATGTCGCGAGAATTTTTTAAGAACTTTTTGAGAGTTTTTTTTAAATTTTACCATACATTTTATTGGTAAACGTATACTAATTGTAAATATAATTATTAATAAAAAGTATGGTGAAATTTCAAAAAACTGTCATAAGAGTCTTCAAAATGTCATGTTCTCCCACGAGTATCTACATAATTTTCGGAGTATAGAGTTTCACGGCATTTTAAAAACCATAAGAGTTTTTCAAATTTCAATTCTTCAGGACGCAAATTTGAAAAACTCTCAAAAGCTCTTCAAAATGCCATATTGTCCCACGATTATGATTTTAATAAAATGTATACTAAGTATAATTACTAGTAAAAGATGTAAGATAAACTTTCAAATAACTTCCATAAAATTCTTCGAAATGTCGTGTTGTCCCACGAATACATGACTTTCAGGAAATGTTAAGAGAGAGTTCTCTGCTTGTGTAATTTATTATTCAAAGAACGTTGTGCTCTATTTCGTGCTGTCTATTTTATTTATTTTATTTCACCAACTGTTATTTTACGTGTTTTATGTAAATACTCTCTAATTTATAAAATTAAAGATATGAAATACAAGGAGAGCGTAGGATTTTAAAAACAAATTTAACCAACTCTCCCCTGCTTTTAAAACTTGTAAGCTTGTCGATTAAACGTTAAAAATGAAAAGTCATTTCGAGCCATGCAAGTCATGGTCTTGCAGCATTTTTGCGTAATGTCACCAGCGAATTGTTGATTTTTTTAAAATTCAGGTCAACGCAAAGGTAAATATCAGTCCGGATAAAAATAACCTTAAAGGGTGATTTTGTTTCGACTTGACAAGCCACGCCTTTTCCGAAAAAGTTGTGGAGAAGTGGAGTGTTATAAAGCGAAAAAATGGTACGGAATGTCTTGAGAACGAGTTCAAATATGATAAGCAACAGAGCTGATCGTTCACAAAGCTTATTTTTTCTGACGGAAAATATTTTATATACGCATGTTGCGCAATAAGTTTCACAATTGCGCCAATGTTTGTCTAAAAACAGGGGCGAGAGATGTAATTGCGATAATAATTAAAAGAGCAAAACGATCTCCTTTCATAATGTTAAACAAACGCATCCCCCCCTTTTAATGCGATAGCTCTGTACGCTGCGGTGTAAACTTCGTTTCACTCAACCGCTGCTTGCTCGCTCGACCGACAAACAAGGGGTAGCACGTATCGCGGAACGAATACAGTCCCGACTCAACACAGTGAACTACATCAGCGTGTGGTCTGGCGGTGGAGTCGGCTTTTTGACGATAGGAAATTTCCCGCCGTGAACCTCGAGAACCTCGTCAAGTAGGTTCGCGCATGAAAACGGATTATTCGAATATGTATTAATTTACTCTCCTGTATGACAAGTAAACGAAACGAACCAGAAAATTGTTCCATCTCTACGATTCGCGGCAAGCTATCGGATTTATGACATATGCATCTTCGGATATTTTCCAAGCAAACGTAAATCAAAGTAAACTCAATTGCAGCGAATTTCCTTAGTGAGCGAAGAAGGTTGAAACCCGTTACGAACGAAACGGGTTGAGAAAAATCGTCAAATAAGTCACATCTAAAAATGTTACGTTTCGGGAAAGTGCAGAACAAAATTATGCAGTTGACGACAGTAAAAAGTATAGTTAGAAAATTTCACGCCAATAAAACTGTGTGTTCAAGCCATTTAGTAACGTAATTATTTATTATCGAGCAAGTAACTTGATCGTCAATAGTTTTCTTAAAGCAATTCTTTCAAAGTCTTGTGAAACAATGTCGGAAACTATGGGGAGATAAGAGAGAACTCGTGGGGCATCCGAAAGTTTGCTTGTAAATGACATTATTAAACGTGAAATATGTGTAGAACAAATTTTAATGCATCCAGGAATTCTGTGATTTCATTAGTAGATTTTTTGAAAGAATCTAGTTGTGGAGAAGTGAACACTTGAATCCTCAGAATGTGATTGCCGATACAAACGAAAATACGATCGCCTTCGAGAACTGTAAATGACACTTTTCTCTATTCTTATTCATATATGTTTAATTTATTCATTTTATGGACTTAAAATGTCAGAGAGAGAGAGAGAGAGAGAGAGAGAGAGAGAGAGAGAGAGAGAGAGAGAGAGAGAGAGAGAGCACGTGTTTGGCAATATGGCGCCATGAGAATTAAAACAGGACGTTATATATCAGAG